CCTCATAGTTCTAGCCGACCTGTGACAATGAGACTGTCACAGGTCGGCTCAGTAGATCGGGAGGTGAGGGGACACATACCGGCGCTCGCTCACCTCTCGATCCTGTCACGGCTCTCTGCCATGACAGGGGAGGGGCTGGATTCCCCCCTCCCCGCTCCGATCCTCCAGCGCTGACTGGCGGAACAGACGGAGGAGGGGGCGGGTACAGCTGGCTCTGCCTCTAGATAGGAGGAGCCAGCTGTCACTCACGCAGCTGGGCGGATCCCGTCATCTAAGTCGGGATACGCTAGTTTGTGTCCTCCCGTTACCCTAAGGAGAACTATGGGGAAAAACACTGACCCCATAGTTCTCCTTTAATACGGTCATCCACCCCCCCCCCACAATGACATCATACAAGGACATTAGAAAATATTAATCGTATCCAGAACAGCGGCTTCCGAAGCCAAAGCCGCGCTACATTATTTATATTATTTACCTTCCAGTATCATCCAATATTAATCAACTGCCAACAGTTTACGCTGCACAGGACGCCGGCGACAAAATGTAATACAAAAAAGGATATGGAACTGAATCGGATTCATCAGTTTACCTCGCAGATTCCCAAATTCCGCACAGGTCATAACAATAAATTAGCAGCTCCGGCTGCTATACTCACCTGAGCTCCAGAGCCGCCCCCCCCGCAGACTCACCGATCAAGCAATGCTGTACCGCTCTGTGTCAATCAACTCACTTCCTGTGAGCCCAGGGTGTCAAGGATCCGCCCCCTTGTCCTGGACCCACAGGAGGAATGCTGCATCGCTGTACTTCTGGGCTGAATGACGCCCTGTGTCAATCGACTCCTGTGAGCCCGGCGTGTCAAGGATCCGCCCCTTGTCCTGGACCCACAGGAGGAATGCTGCATCACTGTACTTCTGGGCTGGATGACGCCCTGTGTCAATCGACTCCTGTGAGCCCGGCGTGTCAAGGATCCGCCCCTTGTCCTGGACCCACAGGAGGAATGCTGCATCACTGTACTTCTGGGCTGGATGACGCCCTGTGTCAATCGACTCACTTCCTGTGAGCAGCATTGGAGATCCACCCGCCAGCGGAAGATGAGAACTAAGAAGACCTGTGATGTCACCAGACCGGGCCAAAGATGCCTGGAACAAAAGGTATGCATAGGGACTTCTGTTTAACGGGTGCAGGGAAGCTCCCAAGAGGGGTAAGTGGCCAGAAGGGGAGGTTCCTGAGCCTGGAGCCGGGCTATCACTACACGCCATGTATCCAGATGTGTGAATAGTTGGGACGATGCTGCAGATACAGCGAGAAGCAGCCCACAGCAGGAATTGGGGCTTATTCCACAGAGCAAAGCTGGAACTCCAGAACCGATCCGCAAATTCAACTAACTCACCGAATATACAGGGCCTGCCATGGGGGGGAACTACAGGGCCTGCCATG